TTTATCACAGTGTATCACCATGTCAAGTTTATCACAGTGTATCACCATGTCAAGTTTATCACAGTGTATCACCATGTCAAATTTCATGCTTTTTAAACTGCACATCTACATATCACAGTGTATCAGTATGTCAATTTCAAAAAGATTTGTCTTTTATTTGCTGAGATAATCGCGACTTTTGAATTCCAAAAATAGGACCATACCCACATGGTCTATTTAAGTAACTGTGAATTTGGCCTTGATCTTAGAAAAAAATAAATCCCCTTTTGCAAATCTAAATAGTATAGTGCATCAGATTAGTCTTTTGATTTCTGAGATAATCTCCAGAAAAAGTGTGGACAGATGGAGAGACAGACATGCAGACAGAAGGACACTGTGATTACTATTAGGCACCCACAACTCTGATGCAGGGCCCCTTTAGCTTTCTTCCTATCATAAATCCCTCTAAATATTATAAGTTCTGATGCAAGGATCTTCCAGGTCAGATAAGGTTAAATTAGCCTTATCTATAATTATGAAATAGCATGTACACGTATATAGATTAACCTTTATATCCCTTATTATGCTGCACCCCTTTACCCCGAAGTGGACCACACTAATTTACGCAATATGATGAATCCTATGATGATGGCAGAGGGGCACTACAAATCAACTGAAGCTAAAATTACTGATACTCAAGGCATCATATCTTATAGATTTACTAAGATTTCCCTTGTTGGGGCCAATCTCTCTGCCCTTATGCATAGCTCACCCCACTTTGACACAATATTGAATCACTTTTGTCAGAAGATGATCCAAACCAAATAAGTATATAGGTTTGTATATATTTCCACTATTTTCCCTGGCCCCTCTGCCCCCAGGAAAGCCAAATTCTCACTTTTGCAATGATTTCTCTATCCAAGCTCAAGGAATGTCTTTATCAGATGTCGCAGACAGCACAAGTTGATTGAGCAGAAGTATACATTTACTTGTGAACATCCATGCAATAGACTATTGCTATCTTTTAAGTCAGACTTGTATGTAGACAAATACTTTATATCACTGTGTTTTACTGCATTTACTGTATACCTAAAACCCGTAGCCAGGGCGAACTTTTCATGACAGGCAACAATCATAAACAACAGAATATACCTATTAATTAAATATGAAGGGCGAAATCCATACTGGCTGAATATGTTTTTTACTGGCGAGGGGTAAAAGTTTGACTGGGCGAAAATTTCCGGTATACAGAATCACCAACATCAGGTTGGTTTGTAGTTCATAATTTAACATTATAAGAGTAACTATATGGTGATCACATGAACATCTGCCATGCAGTCCACAGTGAAAATATGTCCTGCCTTACCTGACAATACCATCACTGGAGCCCGTACATAAGATGTTATCTGTGACAGCTACCATACAGTCTACCGACATAGGATGGCCAGGGAAACGGTCACTGATATTTCCCCATTCTCCCCAGTTGAAAATGTTGAGAACACCTTCTCCAGTCCCACATACTATCTTCTCCTTTTCCTGAAGTTTGTAGACAAGCAAGTTATTAAAGAAATAGATGGAGAAAAAAAAAATCAGGAACACAAAACTCTGTGTTAGAGAGAACTCTTCACAGATTACAAAACTGTGTTAGATATATCTTTTTACCAAAACGTAAGACAATTAAAATTTGTCAACAAGAAACTTTTGTCAGATCATAAAAATCTATCAAACAACATTTATCAAACTGGCACGTATCTTGTCATTCTACTATACGAAGTACACCTGTTATGCTTAACTTTAACCTGGTACCCCTGTTGTGAAAACTTTTAACAATGGACTCCTGTTGTGATAATTTTTAACCTTGTTCCCCTTTTGTGATAATTTTTAACCTTGTTCCCCTGGTGTGATTATTTTTAAACTTGATCTTCTGTTGCATCACACACATTACCGTTAGGTGAGCTAATGACAGAAGCTCCGAGTCAAATAGTTCTGACTGTATGTCCATCCTCTTTCTCCTTACCTTTAGGCGTGCTAATGACAGAAGCTCTGAGTCAAATAGTTCTGACTGTATGTCCATCCTCTTCCTCCTTACCTTTAGGCGTGCTAATGACAGAAGCTCCGAGTCAAAT